CACCGATGCCTTGCAACACAGCCTTGCGCGAGTCTCTGGAGAATACCGCAGGATGGTTGATCCATTCCAGCGCCGACTGCAGGTCTGCGTCCAACGCCGTTATGGTCTGACCATCGACTGCAGACACAGAAGTGATGGTCGCCGTATCCGAAGCCGCCGACGAGTGACCATCAAACATAGACGACTTGGGTGAAGAAGAGGTAGGAGTGTCTGCTCGGCTACCGGAGTCGCTGGTACCCGCTGGCCTGGCGCCGGGGGGCAGAGGAGGAAGACCACCCTTGCCCAGGCCCTTCAGGATACTGCGAGTCTCGGTCAACAAGTGTTGCGCACGGTCATGCTGGCCACGGGACACCAAGGTCAAGGCCCGCGTCAGCATGTCGGACGTCAGAAGCTCCATGCGTCGTTGAACGATAGATGGATGAGGAGGGATGGGTGGGCTAGACGGGCGACCAGGTTTGGCTTTCGGGTTAGGTGGAAGCATAGTAATTGCCAAAAGCGACGGTCTTGGAGAATGAGTAAGATGGCCTTCCCGCAGGAAGTCACCATAGGTCAGGTCTGCCTGGATAAGGGGGACCTCCTCAACGCTCGCCACACGCTGATCATCGCCATCAGACATGCCCCCTAGTGCCTCTAGCCCTGACACCAGGCTCTCCCAGGCATCTTGAGGCGTAGTGTCTTGCGTGGAGTTGTCAGGAGGGATAACAAGCTGGACCAGAACGTCGCGCTTGTCGCCAAAGCGCAAGTCTCCCAGAGCTGCTTCCGCATCACGACCAGTAGCCCGTTTGGTGGTATGCAGAGCTCCACTAATCTTCACGAACTTGGCAGGAGAGCCCTCGGGCAGACGAAGCTTCAGTTTCACGTTCTGGTGGGAGGTAGTCTGCAGTGCGCCCAAGCAACCAGCGACACACTCGCGAAGCATCATCCAGTCCTTCACGTAGACGTATGAGCCTTTGGTTCGGGTAGAGAGTTCAATAATAGTGTCCGGTTTGTGGGTCAGTCCAAGGCCGAAGGAGTGGATGTTAACCCTGCAAGCAATCAGCAAATCGTCCATTGGACCAGGGATCAAAAATAACTTACTTGGCAGCTTCAGCTCTGGACACAACAAAATCGACGCTATCGGGATCAGAGGTGGATGTATCACTGATTAGAAGGATGGTAGAGATGGGGTTCGACGACTTTCGTTGCATGAGCAAGTCCATGGCCACGTTAGCACCCTCGACCACATCTGCACGAAGACTCTTCTGTCCGACAGGTCTGATGGACTCAAGGATCTTAGGCCATCCACCCCAAGACTTGGTGGTCATTCCCACTATTGGGACGCCTCCACTGCTAGAACCAAACGTCACCAGTCCCATACGGTCGCGAGGGCCAAGGCTTTGTACGAGGAATCTTAGTGCATCCCGAAGGAGCGTGATCTTCAGTCCTTGCATGGAAGAAGACACTGGAATCACGACTACAAGGTCGAGAGGAATATGGATGGAGGGCGCTGGGCTCTCGTTGCCCATGCTCGTATAGTCTGTGATGGCCGTGTTGATTGATCGGGCGGCCCCGTAAGACGAATTGATCGAGGCCTGTCGTTTGATTGGGTTGTTCCGGTATTCCTCCTCCTCTGCGCCAGAATTATCATAGTCGTAATCATTGTTTGGAGACGTGCTCTCAATGGGATGAAGGTCGAGAAGGGAACGGCGCCAGAGCTCTAACTGACTGCGGTTCGGGAAACGAAGGTAAAAGCAGGGAAGCTCACTGACCGACAGGTTCAGTGCAAGGATAGGCTCGTCTGCAGCAGCTTCCATGCTGTTGAGGTGCTTCTTGATGAGAATGGAACCCTTCAAGGTGCACCGGGTTGGTTTCGGCTTGGACTGATCATCGTCATATGGACGGCGCTGGGTGTTCTTCTTCTCCTTGACGCAGATGAGCATTTCTCCGAAGAGATAACATTCCAATTCCTGCCAGGATGTACGGTCTTTCCCCACACTCATGTGGCCGTGCAAGCGGAGCTTTCCAAATCTGAGTTTCCGTCAGCGTTGCAATTTTGTAACGGCCGAATTGAGTCACCTACCGGTTGAATTCCAGGCCGTGCCAATTGTCCACCTTGTTCCGCAGGTCCTCTGCTAGATCGTCCAGGTTCTCCTGGCTTTCATAAGGAATTGGTTTCGGCTCCTGGTTAGGGGGGAAACGCATTGCGCCGTAAGGTTCGTCTTGGGGCTGGTCTTTGCCATTCGCAGTTAGGTCGCTTGCATCGGGCTGCCAGCTGCCCTCAGGCACTTCCACCGTTATCAGACACGTCAAAGACTGCTGCTGGCGTGAGCGATTTAGCGTCGGGAACTCGCTGCGGATTGTCACCGTTGGCGCCGGGATGGGATTCTTCGTGACAGCGGGACGGGGGCTGAGGTCAGACTCCATAGCTTGCACGTCGTAATCATGGCGTCTTCCATTGGCGGCATGTTGATGCGACTCATTATAGTCCGATGAACCAGCAACACTTCCGTTCCGCGAGTGATGTTGGCGGGATCCCATGGTCAGTCGTTCGACCCGTTCGCGGTGGCTGCTATTGTCGCGGCTGTCGCGTCTGACGTAAGTATCCCGACTGTCACGGTTATGTGGCCGGCTTCCTGCATGACTTCCAGCATCACTGGGCCGTCGTGCTTGAGCTGGAACAGGTTCCCAGGGAGGAAGATTAGACATGCCACTTCGATGAGTCGCAGCGTCACTAGTCACAGAGCGGACAATATTGCTGAGCTTCTCTGTATGCGGTAATGATCAGCACAACCGTTATTCCGATCCCTGCAAGGGAGAGAACACCTACCAAGATCCAGCATATTTCCCCCACGGCTAGTATCAAGCCCTAACGGCGCATCGCATGTTGGGCAGTACTGGCCCTCGAATTCGCGAATATATTCGTAGAAGCAGGCTTCATGTGAGACATGAGTGCAGGAGAATTGGAGAACACGTTCACCGCGCAAGGTATGTTCTAGTGGCTCGTCGCAGATGGCGCACTCAGTGCCGACGAACGTTCTGTCTCTCCGCGTCCGAGTGCGGTCAACATCCATTAAGCCCGCCATTGGCCTGCCTGACCTGGAGTTGAAGGACACGCGCGACGAGTTGTGGGAATCAGACGGCCAGCCGGGGTCTTGCTGGCTGGAATAGACGGAGTTGGCTGTGGTAGAGGGGGCGCGAGACCGGGCAGTATGAGCAGAGTAGCCGGTTCCAGGGCGCTCTAGTGGTATATAGGTGAAGGTTCGGGGTGGAGGAGGTGGCGAACGAGATTTGGAATTAGAAAAGAAGTCTGCCAATATATTGGATTTGTCACAGTCAGTGGTGATGAAGTGAGATGGGAGGCCAGGTAAAGAGCAGAGAGGCCAAGACGGACGACAGCAAAGACAAAGCAATGCAGTCGTCTCACATAACAATAGTTAATAGAAGGTTTTAAAAAAATGAGTCAACGTTCTAATTCACGTGCTGGCCCCAAGGAGGGTATAGCAATGAATGAACTGTAATGGATAAGGGACTAAAAAAGTCCTGAGTGCTCAAGAAGGAAACGAACGGGGGGACAGCTCCAGCAAAAGAGAGGAGAGACAGTGAAAGAAAGAGAGATAAGGAGGGAAAAGGAGAGTGGATGAGCAGACAGCAACCAGAAGAAACAGAAAGAAAAGGGCAAAAGTGCAAATGATAACCAGAATAAGAAGGACAATAATAATAATATAAGATTCAGCAGCCGAAAGTTAAGAAGAATCAAGAGTAACACTAGTACGAGACACTATACTTACGGAGCGGAGACTTCTTTTTAGGACGAGCACTGCTGCCACGCTCGGATGTGTGAGGGCCAGAAGAATCGTCATTCCCAGACGTGAAATCCGATCTGGGAGAGGGCCGATGTTTCCACATGGATCACGGCAAAAGAAGCTCCTGACGGATCAGGAGGACGACAGGATCAGGAAGGAGGAGGTTTTGGGAACTTTTGAAGAAAACAAGTAGAGAGATTTACTATTTAGGGGTGCCAAGTGGGGGGGGTCAAGACGTAGTGGGGGTTGAACCTGAGGGAAACGCCCCGAGGATGGATGAGATTGACCAAGGGTGGAGGAGGATGAGTGGCTGCAGTGAGAATCACCAACAAAAAGGTTGGTTGGCCATGCGTGAGACTGGGAAGGAGGAGGGAGCGAAAGGGAGGGAGGGGGTGTGTGAAGATGACGAGAATCTGGGAGAGGAGAGGGAAAGGAGAAGGCGGAACAGGAAAAGATGGAGATATCGCACTGGTGCGAACAATTTTACGACGGCGTCCGAGCCGGTTCAGCGAAGCCGTTGATAGTCGCTGGGGCGGAGCGATCAGTATTACGAGAATTGGTAATACTACCTTTTTTTTTGTGTACTAATTATTTTGTAGTATTTAGTATCCCGGTGTTACCTACTGAGTAACCATGGTTGATTTCCACTACCACTTAGCAAGTACCATTTATGAAAGACTACTCGCACAACATACACAACACATACCAGATATAATCATTTTCATCCTGGTTTATATCGAGAGCTAAATACTCCATGACCTGTACCTTCCTTTCAAATGGGGTAATTCTTTCGGAACGGTATTGACAGGACAAGCCATCGGCGTATTTTGTGAATTGAAGATTACTGGTCTGTAGTGGGGCCATGACCGCCGAGCCATGGATGTCTGGAGCTCACTAAACCACGCAGTGGGGCCGATCCAGGGACTGGATACATTCAAGTCTCAAAAGGACGGACTCTCGGTACGGGTAAACCTACGGTATCTGAGTAACTACCCCTGAAATGCTGGAAATACTTAACCCCCTCGGACTAACGTTTCAGAGAATGCGAACAAATATGGTATAGAAATCACCCGGTTAGGAAGGCGTGAGGTCATCGTGGCTGCACGATGTAGTCAGATATGAGCTGAGAATTCTCCAGGTTAAAGTTGCATCAACTATCCAACAGATATCTTAACTATTAACTCCAGTCTGAATCACCCGGAGACCCGTCATTTTCCCATCCCTTGCATCCCCTGGTAAAATGGTCCGTCCAGTCAGATGCTTCAGTGCTAATGCCCTACACGAAACTTGGACCTATCTTTTGCATTAATCTGCTACCAATTATCGGAGATTTCTTTCATCATTACCATCATCACCACTATCAGCCTAGCCACACTGAGGCTTTGGATTCTGCAGGCTCCAATGACCACTGTCGATTATTGAAGGCTGCCTGTCAGCTATGTACAATGAACGGTGTCTGAGTGGATTACGCCCCTCATTAAGTGACCATCAGCAGCGAAAAATACACATCGGGGTCGTGTCTATTGACACTCATATATAGCGATCCTCGTTGGACCCGGTAATGGTATCCCGATAGGCTGGTGCTTTTGCACAATTCAGCAACGATTGGCCTTAATCTCGGCACTGGACCGTCGATCCTCGAACGTTTGCTGTCATGACGAGGAAAGCAAATCGAGTCCCATCCAAGCGCTGTAGGCTAAGAGCAAGCGGAAAGTCCGGTTGGCATGCTTCTCCTGAGCTTCTAGGTCGGTGTTGCTATTCCCCTTTATCCAGTAGAGAAGTGAGTCTCAACCGGATACGTAAGCGGCAAGCGGTACAGCTGCATATCAACGGGATCCCCACCGTGGAAGATTTCCACCCGAAAGGTTAGTTTGTCTGGGCGGGTCGCTCCCTTCCCCTTCCAGCGTTCCCTGGGACGGCACTATACTCGCTTGGGGGTTAGTCCACTTGGTCACAATCGCTATTGAGAGCATTGAGTCGCCTTGGGCTTATTAGGAACCTGGTCCATTTTCGCTCCGGAGAAACGGAGGTAACGGAGAGCGCACCACACGGACAATGAAGCAGCACGTCCTCTGATATTTTTCCATCCACTTATGCACCAGTGGCCACCAAGCGGGGATTCTTCTGAATGATGATCATCAATATGACCGACCATCGTGCTGGCTGCCTGAGGGAAGGTGCGTGCTGAAGTCCAAAAATATGTGCTGTGGAGGAACCGTGGTGCTGGTGGCGGTTCTCCCCACTTGCGCCCGATCGGAACTCGCAGGTTCGGTACGGAGTATGGTAACCAAACACCCAGAGTTACATCGTCTCGTCCCTTCCCGTATCATCAAATTGGATAATACCATGTTGCCAAAACTCTATATTACACAACACCGGGCAGTCGCAATATACCTAGTCCGTACTAGGTAGAGAAAGAGGTTGCCCGCTAGTGCAGACTGTGTTGCCACTGCCTTGCACAGCTATAGAATGCTTTTTAGAGCATTGTGCTAAGTGGTGTACCACCGCCCCTAGTGTGGCTTCCCAACCCTCTGTAGTCTACACTTGAAATCGATGCGACTATTGAACCGGACCCAAGGATTCAGCCCCCAGTCAGCAAGATCCAAGGTAATCACAACGGAAAAAGCAACACGCTGGCTCTTACCCTCTGCAACTCTATTTTATGACGACGGATGATCAGCCTAGGGTTCGCGCCGTAATAGAGGATTCTCTGGTCCAGGCTAAGGAGCATAGGGCTTTTCTGGGGATTGCCCGGCACAACCTCAGTCACCAACTGGGGGTTTAGACGTGGGTGATCTGGCTTCTTGACGGGTATATTTCTCTTCTGAACACGGCTACCATTTTCGAAGTTGCCTCCAAGGCCAAAGTCGATATGTTTGTCGATGTGGCAATATTATCCTACTAGTCCCTACCGACCAAATAGTGAAAATGACACACTAGATACCTAGTGACGGGCTTCCACCACGGAGGCAACCTCGGTATGTTAGCTTAGTACGCCATACTAAGCGCATCGTGCACCATCATCTTTTCTAAAGCTCTTTGCCTCAAAACTGAGTTGACTGCCATTCTTTCATCCGATTGGCTGTTTAATCAACTCCATACCATGGTCGGTCCCTCGACACTTAGATACATCGCCCTTTTTCTTCGCTTTTTCCATTATTCTTCTCAACCGTGGAACCGCAAACCGTGGCAAGAAGGCAAGCAAAGCTGAGCCAACCAAATCGCGATCACGTTCCACAACAATCAATCTTGGGCGCTGTCAGATCCAGATGACGGCACAGTTCGCATGCGCACAGTGGAATAATATTTACTTACATGGTACCTACAGATCGGAGGACGATCCGGCCACAATTAGCAGCTGAATATGACTACCCGCATCTGTGTTACCTCAGCAATAAATATAATGATGCAAGATCACATAACTACCCATCAAGACCCCAACATTACTCACTAGTTTTCAGGAACTATCGCAATGATATGCAGAAGAGTGCATTGGCCCCATAATCATGCACGGGTCTTGGGTCGGTGATGAGAGACGCCCTCACCTGCCAGTGCCCAAAGCCCCTAGATCATTACCCTGACCCTACCCCGTCATGGCGCTGGACAGGTCAAATATCCGCCTTATGACTTCAACGGCCAGGGTCAAATCTTGGTCAATGGACCAGTCGGACAAAGAACTGCTTTGGTACATGTTGTATTGGGTTAATCTAGACTGACGTTTTCTGCAAATTGATAGTTAATACGGAGTATTATCCGCTACTCTATCCGGCGTAGTTCGGGTCATGACTACGGGCGCAACCATGCTGGAAAGAGTAATCCCGACACATTGCAATATCTGAGATAAAATACCACTCGCACCAAGACTTGACGGTGTCTATTAACTCCTTTTCATTCTGGTTCCTTTCGGCCCCTAAGCAATTGGTAATTGGAGCTAGACTAATTAGTATATTGTATGAAGAATACAGAAATGCCGGGGGCGGGCAGTAATAGTATTCTTGTTATAGAATACTTCCCCTGAAACAATCGTGAAACCACCCCTCCAACATCCAACTTTGGGGCAGAACTTAGCAAACTACTAGACTAGGTTCACCATGCCATCCAAGCCTCCTTCCCCTTATGGTCAGGTTGGCCGAATGACACTCAATGTTTCAAAACCACACACAAAGTACCGATTCACTTTCCATCGACGCAGGCACCTGCGGGATTTGCTTTTAGGTGTGGTCTGATCACCTCAGTCCTCATTGTCAGGCAACACGAAGTCAACTAGACGCACAGATGGACACAGTAGAATCTACTGCAAAGCAGTGCATCCGTTGCTTGGAAAATGATGCGACTTGTCATGACCGATGTTCCCTAAGTTTATGATATGTAAAACTTCCCCCTCCGCCCAGCAGCGCCACTTACAAGGCAAATTTCCTACTTTTCTTTTTCTCTTGTTCTCAATTTCTGCATACGTCCAATGACCTGCATCCCTTCAATCAATTAAACCTGCATACAGTAGCCACCCACTGCACGGACGCTTCATTTTTCAGCTCCTGCTGCTGCTCCTGCTTCGCATTTCCCGGAATGCTTCCGACACTTACTCACTTACTGTTACTTACTGACTCGTCTTACCCCGACTTCGGCTCCTGACATAGCATTGACACTCCCGCACAGTCCATCTTTTGACGCAAGGTACTTTGCTTTCTACTCCAAATTTCCCCCATACTGTAACTATAACTATAACTTGTCACTAAGAAACTAAGCAAGTAGATTCCCCGACGATCTTCCGTAGATAAGTCGATTCCTCCGGCGTTTGATAGCCCAGGGTCGGGATTGTCGCTGACCTACCATGGTTCGAGCACAAGATAGACTACTATAACCTTGCCGTGCATTTCGGAGTACCCCGTAGGGACCCGACCTACTTACTACTTACATATGGACATGTCTGAAAGTGCCAATTCCAAGCATTGATTGGCGGATTCATCAAACCCTAATATTGATTCTAGATTTCTCAACACCAATCAAACTATCTTCATTGCCCTAACCCCTGTCTTTGTCAGCGGGATTGGATAACTAACTATAACTAAACCCATCCCCACTGTGCGGGCTGTCGTAAAAAAAGGGACACGGGAGAGAGAAAGAAAACGAGTACATAGATAGGGCGAAAGTACGTACGTCATTACTAAAGGAGGATTTCTGGTTTTTCGAGACTCGAGTTGTCGGACTAAGTTGTTAGACTCGAAGTTTACTTTGATAGATGCTGGGGTTGTGTGGTTACTTAGTAGCAATATTCGGGCCCGCTTTCCGTTTAGGTGAGCGATGCTGTGGTCACTGAGGGAGGAGATTTCGCGGAGTAAGTACTATAGTCGCAGAGATGACTTAAATGGGTTAGGTGGTTGCTGTCAGGTGTCGATCATGAGCGGTTTATCTGGTTGGTTATCGTATGTTCCTTATGGATGTTCGGTCAGCACCTTACTTTGGTTTTGGTTTGTGGGATTGTTTACTTTTTGTACATTTCGGTGCCCAACAAGGGATAATGTCTTGTGTATATTATGCTGTCTAGCTACGATGTCCTTGATTCTTTGCGCATGGATTTTTACTTTTTCTTATCATCTTTTTGGGCTGGAGAAGTTGTAGCGGGAGACGGTGGTAGGGATGCAAAAGGTACATGCACTATCGTAGTACCGGACACCTATGCTAGACCATTAAATATCCGGGAAAGTACTCTCAAGATCAGTAATATAAGTATTTTCTTTCTAGGTACTAGTTCTGCTAAATTAACCTGCATCAATACCGAAACCCTCAAGAGGACAATACCATAATGGTGGGACTATCGCCTCGGAGTGGCCGATGCTGTCACAGATCTAAGCCATCTAGATGTCCGCGGACACCGTGGTTACTTGCTAAAATCTGTGATTATTGATTTGATTTACTGAGTAGAATACTGCCACTTATAAATCAAACAAGATTACAGCAGGACGTCAGATGTCACAATGGATCCATATTCCGTGGCAAGTAGTCCAGTCATGACCATGAACAGGATGAACTTCTGTAATGACTTTCATGTCTGATCAATTCCTCCAGTGTGCTCATTAGCTCACAAAACCAGGATGATAGACCACTTTAGAGATATACCATTGTGTCATGATATAGAGTAATGAGTCAAGCACCTTCTCAACGATGCAGCTTGATGTCTCAGCAGAGCCATCATCCTCATTGTGCCAACCTCAACCCCTCCATTTTTCGATATCACATTCACTTGGCAAACATCTTGTCACTTCTCCATCAACCAAGTCACATTATCTCGAGAATTGATACCCTTGATACTAAGTACAATACTATTACAAGCCCGAGGTCTCTTCGATAAAACCGCGCAGTTTTCTGCATCCGGGCTCATTACGCAGCAGTTTCAGCGAGCTGGACATGTTTCAGTAGATCATACCAAGTAGATGATCCCTTCCCGCTCTGATTCAACATGTTGCACCATTTTCTCGCATAATGGTCCGCTGGTGCGAGATAATGTCCGCAATATTGTTCCGCGTCGTAAGGGAAAGATGTGCCAGCATGACCCACAATATGCTGTGCACCTATGTATGTGATTATGTAGGAAATAAGGGGCTTTAAGCGGTTCGATACACGTGTAGACTGCTAAGGAGAATTAAGAAAGTCTCAGTGTTGTGGCACGGGCCAGGGGTATGAAGGCCAGCGATGTTGATGGTATATAAGGGTCCCATCCGATATGGGAGATGCCAGATTAAATCAATCTTCGAGATGTACGTTAGTATAGCTCATTCAAAATGACGCCTGTTTAATTACGGCATTGTAGACCACTTTCATCATTCGCACTATTGGCATCTATGAAGCCTGGGCACGCTAAGTCTATATCTTAGGTAATAGGTAGAATTTGACTTGTGACAATGTAACATTGACTGGTGACAAGACTAAGTAAGGTTCGACTTAGCCTAACAAAACTCTCTGGAGAGGCCCTATGCCCTGTGGGCTCCATAGGATTGGAGGATACTATGATGGTAGTCTCCAGATCTAGGCCACGGTCAGGTTGGAACTGACCCCGCAGTCTCCGATTATTATCCTGGGCTATACCCATACGCAAATCCCTGTTACCACTACGAAAACTTCTGAATAGAAATTTTGAATTCCTTGGTTCGGTAGAAACGGCTTCATTTCATTCCCTTTTTCCAGGGCAATAGTAGCCGACTATGCCCCTCCCCGCATGGTTCACAAGACCCAGGCATGCAGGACATATTGTGACACCAACACCACCACGCATGCATAATACCTGCAATAAATATCGACTATGTCGTGCAATGCGAATTACAAATACCCCAAGGCTTAGATGAACTTGTGTCACCCAAACCCATTAACCAAGGAAATATTTGAAAACATGCCACTTTTGCTACAACGTGGTATTATTTCACCAATACCAAAAAACCAACCATTCATTCATAGGTAACAACGCCATTGTAAAATACTTACCAAGCCCATTTTCAACCCGCTAACCAAACTTTATCAGCAAGAGAAATACCCCCACTATAACGAACAAAGTTCACAGCTCCCAGAACACGACAAATGGGAAAATAGCCTCTGGTTTTCTAGAACACCCCAGAATGCCAATTAGGGTTGGTATCCGAGTCAGAGGAAGAAAAACTATCGTCGGACAGCAGTCCAGAAAAGGCAGTATGTCCTTTTTTTTCCTCTTTTGATTTCTCCAGCTCAATGCTACTACTAGTTAATGGGGTTTCATTTTTTTTTTTTTTTTGCCCTTTCATTCGGAGGAGTTGTGGAATTGAAATCGAAAAGCAAGTTCAAAAATTACAAATCGCAAGTAATCTGTTATCCTGGTAATGTAAGAATGTTACCTTCCTACTTTGCGACTGACCAACACCGCTCCAGTTGGGACACACACAGGCCATGATCTACACATCTGCATCCATCTCACCCGCTGACCCAAAATCTGGAATTCCGGGTTGAACAATAAAAAAAGTAATTGTACGGAATTGGCCCCCCAAATATATCCGCTATTTTCCCGTGTATGCACCCAGCCCTGCTACGCCTTGCTCTCCCTAATTCTGAGAAGTTGAGAATAGCTCGTTCTTCCTTCCTCGGGCTTAATATTTTACGTACTAACTGGTTACACAGAAAAGCAACTAGCGCCGACGGACAAGGAAGGTCCCCAGTGTACCGGAAAAGCTGGAATTCAATTTCTAGCCCCATGACGAACCATCTCCGTGCGTAAAGTAAGATATTAATTTGGGCCACCTTCAGCTTATCCACTTTCTCTTGCCACGTTTCGCAAGGGGGTCGCTCCCGTCTTGGGCTGAGTTGCTCCGTCTATTCCTTTGATGCTCGGATTTGAAAATCGATCTACATCTATGACTGCGTCATGGGCTGATGTCGTGCTCACTGTTAATGGATTACCTGTGTGAAGTAGTATATACATCAGCACTGCCTCTTAGGATTCAGAGTCGTGTCTGTCAGACTTCCTTCTGCGCTGTGCTAGTATTCCTGTCCTCTGCCGACGGAAGATGACCCTTTCGCCCCATGGCTGGATACTGACGCTACGCAGAACATGTTCCATGTACACACCCTCGTTTGGGGCGCATTTACCACTCTTTGCTTCATTATATTCCATTACTGGAAGCTAGACAGTCGCATATGTCTTCTTGACACTGCAATCAAGCCCATAACGATCGGAGATCTCGGACCGTTGATGCTTCGCTACAGTGGGCTCTACCATGATTGCCACGTTCCGCGCACGGAGCAGTCGAATCAGATCCAGATCCTATATCTCTGCTAGGCTCGGTTCCAGGTTGTATGACATCAGTCCAAGCCTGACCAGCTCCCTCCGTGTGCTAATTTCTCACCAATCGCGTATATGCTAGAATATCGGCTATCGCGGGATTACCCTGGCAATGCAAAGCTCCCGCGGGATCCCTATCGTGGGCCAGATCTCGCAAGAGTTCATGGCAGATGGGTATCCTAGAGGATTGAAATCCTTGCGCGTATATCTGTTGGGTAGTCGGCTATTGTTGTTGGCTATCAGCCATCGTGTCAGCCTGTCATGCAGATTGCTGGCCCGTAGCACATGGCTGAGCAGCACGTGGCGCAACGAACTGGCCCCAAGCTGGGCCTTACAGGATTCGTATTGTAAGTATACCAACTTAGAAAAGACTTCATTTCTGGCCCCAACTAACACCGCCATAGTGTAGTCGTAGTGAACGTGGCTTTGACAGACCCCCATACATGGGGCCAGAAATGTATGCAAGGCATGCGGCGTCTGTTTCAGGTATTGTAGAATAGGCGAAGCTGTCTCAGGCGAGGCTGTCTGGAGAGCCTGAACTCAGTTAAAGACTTCGTCTCACCCACATTGCATTTGGAGGGCTGAGTCAAGAGATAGACGCGGTGAGCTGCTGCGCTTATCGGATATAAATCCTAGCTCGGAAACCATGTGTTCGGATTTTTGTCCGCATGGGCTTGATGGAAGCTTATAACTGCCGGTGGTCAATTGCTGATGCAATAGCGAACACTTCTGCTGAACAGGAAGACGCTGATTGGAGTTGGGACAGTAAAGTTAGTGCACATATTAACATGCTATCACGCATGTCGCCATACAATCTGTGAGGACGTGACCGCCTTTGTTGAATCAACGCTGAGACAGGCTCGGAAAGACACGGAACCCAGTACTGCCTTAGGCTAAGAGTCGGTCTGGCCAGTGATCGGGTGAACAAAGGTCCGATAAACAGCGAAGGAGTGATGTGGTTGGTTGGCCATGGCGATCAGAGGGGCCCGTTCGCCGTAACGAGCTCAATGGCGCATTTGACAAGCTCAATTGATGGGAGAAAGATGAGCCTGTGTATTGATAGCGGTAGCAGAGAGAGAGAATAAATGGAATGAGTGAATTGAGGCCAGTAGAAGAATAAAAGAAGCAGCAGGCGTGAAAAGAACAGGTGTTTGTGTGGTTTGCAAGGGCCCTACACCGGACGGCCCCGAAGGGAAGGGAAGCGGGCTTAGATAAGCCGCCTGCCGAATTCCGCCTAGCCGCAGGGGAAAGTTTGTTCCCAACATCTCCGTTGAGGAAGTTGAAGATAACAGAATCTCCCTTCCTCTCCTCCAGCTCCTCTATACCCTCCCCGGTTGGACCCTCCCTCTCGTCCATCATGTTGTTCCGCGCTGCGGTCCGTCAGTCCGCGCCCTTGAGGCGTCAGGCCCTCACTCCTCTTGCTCGTCGCTCCGTCACCACCGACGCCGCTTCGTCGCATGCTGAAAATGTCCCCCAGGTTCGTTGAGAGCTCCCTGGATATCCCGGATTGACCTCCGCAATGGCCTCAACTAATGCGATTATCATCTGTCTACAGGAGGATGACAAGCCCTTCACTGTCCGCCTCTCCGACGAGAGCTTCGAGACCTACGAGATCGACCCTCCCCCGTACACCCTGGAGATCACCAAGAAGGAGCTCAAGCAGATGTACTACGACATGGTTTCGATGAGGTATGGCCGCCGTTAGGCCCTTTGCTTTTTTCCCACAAGCCTCATGCAGGATCTAATTTATCGCTCAGACGTATGGAGATGGCCGCCGACCGTCTTTACAAGGAGAAGAAGATCAGAGGTTTCTGCCACTTGTCTACCGGTCAGGAAGCCGTCGCCACCGGTATCGAGCACGCTATCACCCGCGACGACAAGGTCATCACTGCCTACCGTTGCCACGGTTTCGCCATGATGCGTGGTGGTACCGTCCGCTCCATCATCGGTGAGCTGCTTGGTCGCCGTGAGGGTATCGCCTACGGAAAGGGTGGTTCCATGCACATGTTCGCCCCCAACTTCTACGGTGGTAACGGTATCGTCGGTGCTCAGGTCCCCGTCGGTGCTGGTCTCGCTTTCGCCCAGCAGTACAACGAGGAGCCCACCACCTCCATCGTCCTCTACGGTGACGGTGCCTCCAACCAGGGTCAGGTCTTCGAGGCCTTCAACATGGCCAAGCTGTGGAACCTCCCCGTTCTGTTCGGTTGTGAGAGTAAGTCAATTAACTCCTCCGACACTATACTTCACGACAGGCATAGTTAACAATCTCCTGCTAGACAACAAGTACGGTATGGGTACCTCCGCCGCTCGTTCCTCCGCCTTGACCGAGTCCTACAAGCGTGGTCAGTACATCCCTGGTATCAAGGTCAACGGCATGGACGTCCTGGCCACCAAGGCCGCTGTCAAGTACGGTAAGGACTGGGCTGTGGCTGGCAACGGCCCCCTGGTCTACGAGTACGTCACCTACCGTTACGGTGGTCACTCCATGTCCGACCCCGGTACCACCTACCGTAGCCGTGAGGAGATCCAGCGCATGCGCAGCACCAACGACCCCATCGCCGGTCTCAAGCAGAAGATCCTCGACTGGAACGTCTGCTCCGAGGACGAGCTCAAGTCCCTCGACAAGGCTGCCCGTGCCCACGTCGACGAGGAGGTCGCCATCGCCGAGAAGATGCCCCTCCCCGATAACACCCCCCGCATTCTCTTCGAGGACATCTACGTCCGTGGCTCCGAGCCCAAGTGGATGCGTGGTCGCACTGTCGACGAGACCTTCTACTACTAGATATACCCATAACCACTCCAATCCAAATCTAGATATGTTTCTTTAAAACACAAGGCTCCCTATTTTCCAAAGTGTGAAGAAATGAACCTTCAGTTGGCAAGAACTCTGGATGATGATGACAAGGAAAGAAGAAAAGAAGAAAAGAAAGAAGAAAGGAGGAGCAAGTGAAGGAAAGTGGTCTTACTTTTGTTTTTTTTCTCTCTGTTTGAAAACACAAAAGTTTAGACCGCGCACGCACACACACATCACGCAACCAGACCATTTGGGATTTGGCAGGCTCCTACCTACTACTTACTTTTACTACGCAAAGGCATCCATACCATGGATATGTTTACTATGTAATTTAGCCCGGGAAATTTTTCTGTTTTTATTTATATTTTTTTGCATTACTCCAAGCCTTCAATATCTTGAAGTTTCAGGTCCTCTTCTACTAGCTTGTATGTCTATACCTGTAAAGCATTAAGTTAGGGGGTTATGCATCTAGGAGCTTAGATGTCTGTCGATAGTGTCGAGTAAACACTACTTTCTACAGAGATGGAACTTGAATGTAGTGAAAGTATAGGTAGGTTGTATATATGTATTGTTTCCCCGAAAGGTCAGAGTGAATATATGAAAACGAAAAGAATCGAGATATGAAATGAGAAGAGAAAGGATGTTGCCAGCAGTCAGTCACTCAGTCAAGTCAGATATCCATACTGCAGCATTCAAAGAGTATAGGAAAAGAAAAGAAAGCTAATAAAAAGAGATAGAATATAAGATAGTCGACATACTCGTCCATGGGTATCATCTGGTAAAAAAAAAAAAGAGGACGCACGAATATTTAAACAGAAAACAAGAGGATATAGTGGATATGAGAGAAAATGAAAAAAAGAAAAACGAAGAAAGAAAAAGCTGGTTCTCAAGCAGGCTCCTGTCTCAACATCTCAAGGATCATTTCCTGTGTCCGCTGCACCGAGTCCAGTTTCTCTTCAAGTGTGGCTCGATCTTTTTCTAGCTCGGCACGCACTTCAGCGCGCATTTCCTGTCGGAGTTCATCTTTGAGCTTGTTGATGAAGTCGGATGACAGGTGCATGAGTCCGGTTTGGGCGACGGACGCAGGAGGGGGATCATGTGTAGCCGTGCTGAGTTCCGCTGGTTGAGCGTCCTGGCGCTGTTCGCGAACACGGGATCTGGAGGGTGACGTCGGTTTCTTGGGCGCAGATGAGGTAGGCTGGGTATTGACGGAGTCGAGGTGACGATTCAATTTTCCCAGTGTCTCCAGCATAGCGCTCATCATAGAATTATCCGTCCCTGATGGCGGATTATTTGTTGTTGCTGCTGCTGCTGCTGGAGTGGTGGACGGCGTTGCCCGCTGTTGTGTCGCAAGCCCATCCGGCACACTAATCGCCGGAGATGGGGTCTGTAGTCCTTGATTCGAAAACATACTATCGAACCCTGGGGGTAGTCGCACGGTGCTCTGCGAAACAGGAGTCACAGGTCCAGGTTGGTGCTGGCTGACAGTAGGAAGCGGGCTTGCTGTGCCCTTCCACTCGTCACTGGGACTCATAGTCCATGTATCCCATGGCCGGTCTTTCCTCTTCCTCGGTTTGCGCGAATCGCGCTTCTCGATCCGCCGTGCCTCTGCGTCCTCCCACCTCCGCCATGTAGGAATCCATGCGTCCACTGCTGCCCGCCACCGAGGATTCGACAGGTCTTCGCTCGCGTCAGCGCCCTTGTCGCGCTGTTCGTCGAGGAACTTCATCCGCTGTTTTGTAACCAACTCCACCTTACGGCGCACCGAATGCCACGAGTATGGGTGTCCCTGGTCCTGGGTGAACTCTTCTGTAACAGTCATCCACCATTTACAGAGGTTACTGCGCTGTCCGAATTCGCTCGCATGTCGGTTGCAGATGTTGAACAACGAGACTTCTTCCAGGGTGGTTAATCGTTTTCCATGTTTGCGCGACCGATCGCCGTTTGGCGCGCCATCGGGATCGTCGTCCTGGTCTTCCATTGGATAGGGTCTAACGACACTGGCTGCTGCTGCATGGAGTGCGGCTCGATTAGCCGCGGTGCCGTTAGGCATAACCCCGGCGGTAGTCGTAGATCTATGTCCGGACTGTCGGGAAATATTCGTTCCCTGAGCTAAATTATCGGGAGATGTGCCGTAATCGGGATCTGCGAGAGCGTCGGCGTGGGTGGGGTCGCGCGCACAGGGATCCGTATGGTCACTTGCTTCGCTTTCAAGGGTCTCAGTCAGTGGTTGTTGGGATCGCGAATCGATAACGGCTGGTCCAGGTTGGCGCGTTTGCGGGCGTGCTGTTTGGTGATTGTGTGGATGGGAATGGGAATGGGGATGGGAGAGGGCAGTTTGCGGCTGCGGCTGCGGTGGTGTTTGGGAAGGCTGCGGCGATGGGTGCTGTTGCTGCTGCTGCTGCTGCTGCTGCTGCTGCTGCTGCTGTTGCTGGGCTATACGGAGATTGGATGACGACAAGGTGGGAAGAGGTGTTGCGCGCGATATCATAGACGGGAGCCATCGTAACCCAGGCACTTGTAGGGAGGATTGAGGAGTGGAGGAGGGGGAGTCGATGCGAGGTCCAGAAGAGGCGGCGGCGGCATTGGTCGTGGAGCCATGCCAGGGATACATTGACATGGTCTGTGATACTGGACTGCCTGTGCGACTGGCGGGGTATAATAAAGAAGGCAAGAAATAGGGAAAAGGACGATAGGGATGAAGCAGCAGCAGTGGACGCACTGCCGGCGTGCTGGAGATTGAAGAGGAAAGAAAGAGGAAAGGGAAAGTCGAAGGTCGAAGTCGAAATCGAAATGAAAATTGCTCGGTCGGATTTGCAATTTCGAGGGTTGACAGGCGAAAAGCCCCCCGCCGATCGGGGCCCGGCGTGTATTTTTCAGCTGACGGTAAGCCGACCACCATGGTCACTTCCCTTTTTGGCAGGTATACAATACATGCGGTATCGCGTGAATATGGTGGACAAAGAGATCATACGGAGACTGTGTTAAGATAATTAGACTGTATAGGATTACTTAAAAGTAGAAGAGTGAGAAAAATAGTTAGAAGTGAGGATATATTTCATTGGTGATTTACATTTGTGATCATCCTGCTCCAACACCGCTGCAACATGATATTGACCCTCTCCTATCAACAGAGGACCAGACAGATAGATATAAAGATACACGGTGAGCACACCGACAATGCAGAGAGAAAGATCTAAAAAACAATCAAACCAGCGACCCAGTAATACAATAAGACTGTGGAACATGCCCGCAGAACAGCGAAAATAAACCCAAAGAACAAAAACAGATGGGGGCGACTAATTAATACAAGCATTTCTCATGCGTCTACCGCCGTCTCAGGTACCAGTGGTATGCCAGCGCTCCAGTCGCAGGACTGAAGGGCGACGGCACCTCCGACAAGCCCGGACGAACCACGGGGTGGCGCAGGTAAACGGCTGCACAAGCCTTAGGGTGCACCTCCAAGTAGCGAGGGATCGTGGCAAAAGCGCTCATGAAGTCCCGCGGCCGCCAGGGCGTAGCGTACGGCTTCGAATGGTCGATCGGGTTATCACGCATCTGGACAAGGGCACGACGAAGAATCTGGAACTCCTCATCGGTCAACTCGGACGTGTCCACCTCCTGTTCGGGGTTCTCAGCAGCCTGGCGGAATGCCTCGGACAGCTTATCGCCGGGCTGGGTCTCGCTGTCTGCCTCAGCAGCGGCCTTGGTGTTGGTGGACTTCTCGGAGTTGGCAGCTGTGGTATCCTGTGTTTCCTTCTTCTCTACCTTCTTGGCCTTGAGCAGCAGAGTCAGCTCGGAAAACTGAGCCTCCAGGTTGTCGGCGAGAACGTTTGAATCAGAGCGAGACAGCACGCGACGGACGGCCTTCTGGAATCCGCGCAGCTCCTGCTTCCGCTTGGCCGGAAGCACCGACTTGCTGTCGGCCATGATGTTCTTGGCCTGAGACAGCAGAGCCTGCAATGTCTGGCGCGGGGACTGGACCTCCTGCTTATCCTCTTGCTTATCCTCCTCTTTAGCCTCACCCTCTTCCTCGGCTTCCTCAGCCTTCTTTTCCGTCGCCTTCTCCGCTTCCTTCTCAGCAATACGGGCCGCGCGCCGGTCGTACTTGTTCTTCGGAGCACCGGTGGCAAACATGACACGGTCGGTCTCGACCTGGAACAGATCACCAGGGTTGAGCAGGTAACCGGGGTATCTCATCTGTCAAACGTAATCGATCAGCTTTCAATGGCAGCGCCTAAATGGAAAGGACCATGCAGCGTCCCAGGCACACTCACCTTCTTTCCATTGACCGTGACGGCTCCATGAATGACAAACTGCCGCGCCTGCCTCGTACTGCTGGCGAACATAGCCCGGAAGACGGCCACATCCAGCCGGCGCTCTAGGGGAGCAAAAGTCGCCTGTGTATAGGGAAAAGGTCTGTCCAGTTGATCGGTCTCGACTCTCTCGACCTTCGAGACTTTAGAGTACGCGGCTGGATCAGGCCGCGGCTCAACACCCATACCACGACCGGCGGACAAGGCAGAACCATCGTCTTTGGCCAGTTTGGCGGGATCCATGGGCATCACGCTGCGAATGCGGGGAGAAAACATGCGCACCCAGTGCTTTTCGGAGACCTGTTCACCATGATATCCACGGGCCATCGATTTGGCATCCCATTTTTGCTGGAAATGAGTTCGGAACATGGGGTTCTTGATGGAGAACCGCTTCATGTTATATAGGTTCCATTTGCTCCATGATTGCCGGACTTTCTAAGTAAAGCATACAAGAATTAGCAATTGCGGCCAGATGAGCAAGGAGACAGGGCAAGGAATATTTTCATACCGGCTTGCTCAGATGCTGGGTCGCCCTGTTCCTCATGATGGCGAGATGGGCAGGGTATGGCCTGCTAGCAGATGTCTTCTTGTCTGTCTCGCTGCCCGTCGGCCTCTTTTCCCATGCTTTCCCGGCCGCCCAAAACTTCGCAGGCGCACGTGATATCAATCACG